GCAGGACCACACAAGATTCAAGGAATTGGAGCTGGTTTTATCCCTGGAGTTTTGGATGTTGACCTCCTTGATGAAACTCTACAGGTATGTTCTTCTCTATTAAGTTGGGCTGTAGAAAGGGCATACTATCTCTGATCCCATGTTTAAGTCCATTTAGGATTGTTGGTCAGACCTTTTTAGCTTTGACCACTGATTTCTAAGAACCATATGGACTGACGTCATAATATTGGTGTTATTACTAGAGTCATCATGGAAAATGTTTTTTGTAATTACTTTCTTCTATTTGATTGAAATGGTATATGTTCATAGTATTATTAGTCAAAGTGGTGCACTGATTCCAATATCATGTCAGACCTATATATCCCTCATATTATTTTTTAGAATCGAGGATGTTCCCCATTTCCATTACATGAACGGAAATACAAGCAGTTTTTAGACATGTACGAAGAAGCAAGAAAAGACCAGACAGCTAACAGAAGTGCGCTTAACCGCCAGCGCAAGAGGATCACCAACCAACCAACAGACTGCGCTTAACCTCCTGCACAAGAGGTGACTTAAGCTAACCACAGACAGTTCTAATAACATCCACCCAATACTGCCTATCACCTTCCCAGCAAAAGCCATCGTAAGCCAAACTGAAAACGTTACACAATAACGCCATATAGCAGCCATCAGAAAGAAAAGATAGAAGTCGTATTCCTCCTGCACCCCATGGAGCGATGGTGAGGGCAGCATCAGCTCAACACCCGGATCATTCCTTGAACTGGTCACCATCTTGATATTCTTGAATTTCATTCCTAGTCTCCAGCTTGGGTTTCTTGGCGGCAAGAATGTCCATCGCCAGCTTTAGCATTAAATTGGCCCCTTCATCGCTTCCTTGTCCACTTCTGCATAAAGTCCTGCCCAGAACTTCATTAGCCCCTACATGACAGATAATCTCTAATGGGTTTTAATGATCTTGTTATTGAAACAAGCATTGTTCCTAGCCTTCAGATAGCCCAGCAGATGGCTGCTGTGCCACATACATGGAATTTTTTTTTGTCAAGAGGCAACCACTTTTCCAGCCAACTCCAGCATTGGTTTAGATTTCCAGGGATATCCGCAGCACCAATGCATCTAGCCACACATGCCCAAATCACCTTGGCTACAGAGCATTTAAAGAATAAGTGGTCTATTGTTTCATTGCATTCACAAAATAACATTCTGGATCACCAACCCAGTTTCTTTTGATCATGTTGTCCTTAGTTAGAATTGCCTCATTAGACACTAACCACATAAAAAATTGGATGTGGGGTAACATATTATGATATAAACAAGCATGCTATTTTTACTCTCTTTGGTTACAGTACTGTTTTCCCTCATTAACGGAATTTATGGCTGATCCACTTTTATCTTGTACTCAAGTGTCTTTGCGTCTGCTTTCTTCTACCTGGCATAACATTTTGGTGCCTTCAATTGTTTCCCAGATTTCAAGTGATGAAGCTATTGAAACTGCCAAGTCTCTTGCTTTGAAAGAAGGGTTGTTGGTAGGTCTCATTGTTCTCTACTATTAAGAACTAATAATCTGCATGCCTCATCTATTGATGATTTATACTTCTGTAGGTTGGAATCTCTTCTGGTGCAGCTGCGGCTGCGGCAGTTAGGCTTGCCAAGAGACCTGAAAATGCCGGAAAGCTATTTGTTGTAAGTGTTACATTTCCTCCCTCTGAATTCTAGCACTTTAAGGTGTGTAGCTCTTTCAGTCACATGAGTCTTTCATGGAAATTCATCTGATGTCTAATAAATCACAGATGAATAGTTCTACTTGTATATTTAGACCTAAGTCCCTATGGGGGGTTTGGGGGGGATACCAAACTCAGTCGTTTTGTCAATGCAACATCTGCACTTCAGTGATAGTTTGTGAACTTTTGAGACCTGACTTAGTTGTGACTTTTGATGGGCCTATCTGTTCGGCTGGACTGAGACAATTGGGCCCAATTTGGCAGCTAAGGCTTTCCAACACTCTGTAGACGAAGATCAACTGAATCGCCCATTAGTTAAAAAATACTAAATTGTATATTCTTTTGACACGCCATTTTACCGGAATTTCAGAAAATTTAGATTTGTCAATGTGCTCTGGAATGATTTTTTTTAAGTCCCAAAACCAATTTGTTCCTCAACGCAGGTCGTGTTCCCAAGCTTTGGTGAGCGCTACCTCTCATCAGTGCTGTTCCAGTCCATCAAGAAGGAAGCAGAGAGCATGGTGGTCGAGCCCTAGAGCCCAATTCTGGCAACTGTTTTCAGAGATGTTCACCATTTTCATCACAGAAATAAAGCTTCGGTGCCCTTCTGCTTCTGTTGATTTCAACATACATCTGTCTGCCGACGATGTCCAGCCCATTGTGGTCGTTGTTTTACATCGTTTATAGAGTAGACTTGTGATGTTTACTACTATTTGACACTCTTTGTATTCTGTATATTGCGTCAGCCAGTGTGAAATAAAAGCAGTATAGTGTGTTTCTTTTTCTTTTTCTTTTTTTTTTTGGTCCTGGGTAGATTTTCATTCCAACTGAGTTGAGAATTACTCGACGGCAATTACATGAACGTTATCCGGGACAGTGCACGTAATGTGCTCCTCCCCTTCGACGCTACCGCCACCGACAAGGGCAAGCTCATGAGCTGCCCTATTACGAACTCTTGACCGAGAGACACTCAAAATTTATGAAGTTTGATGACACTAAAGACTTTAATTCATCTATCAGACCTCCAGACATCGATTTGGCAAGATCATCAGTCGTCAAAGCTTGTTTCGCCAACGTTGCGTCCGTTTCCAGGATCAAGTTTCCAATCCCCAGGTTGCATATGCTGCCTGGACACCATGGAGGCAAGGAATCAACTCTGCCTCGAGGGCGTTGAGCAAGTGATCAACTCGCCCCCATCCAGCATTCACCACATCTCCATCGCTATCTCTAATGAGGAAGCCCCAACCACCACTCTTGGCATACGGTGAAAAAGCCCACTCTCAACTCCAGCGGTCTCTTCTTCTTAACTGTGTTTCTTGCAGGGATGCTTTGTTAGAACTCTTGGGACAACAAGAATCCATGTTTCTTGCATGGAAGCTTTGTTAGAACTCGGACAACAAGAATCCATGTGTTCAAAACATGTCCTATAGTTGACCAAGTTAAAATATATGTACTCTATCCATTCACAAAAGAATGCTATTCTAGCACAATAGCAAGTTAAAGTATCTTGAGTTTGATTTATTATAAATAAAAAATATCAGTATTCATAATATCAAATAAGTATTGTTAGATTTATCATGAGATATTTTCATACTATAATCATTTGGTTTCATAAATATTAATATTTGTACCTATATTTGGTTAAACTTTAGACAAGTTAGCTAAAAATACATCTAGAGTTGCCTTCCTTTGGAAGGAGAATTGCATTGAAGAATGGCCAGTGACGCTCACGGAACTGAACAGCAGTGATGTGCTCGGTCATTGCCTGCTGCAGCAGCAGGAGGTAAAAAAAAAAAAAAAAAAAAAAAAAAACTGGGTTTGGCACTTTGGCAGGGCAAGAGAGCCCAACAGTCAAAAAAGTGTATGTAAATGCAGCAGGGCTACGTTCATGTGTTGCAGGGCCACTACTGTCCTGGCAGCACTGTAGTCTGTTGGCAATGCGAGCAGAGTACATACAGCCATCAACATGAGCACTGCAGGCACCGGTACTGCAACCATGTTCTTCCAACCACACAGACTTGACCAAAGACAGTCGAATCACACCATTGGTGTCATGGAGATAGGGCCTTGTTTAGATTGGGGTTAGGAATTAATATTTGGCACTATAGCACTTTCGTTTGTATTTGACAATTATTGTTCAATCATGGCCTAACTAGGCTCAAAAGATTCGTCTCGTAATTTACAATCAAACTGTGTAATTAGTTATTTTTTTATCTACATTTAATACTCCATAATGTGTTCAAGATTTGATATGATGAAGAGAGAGTGAAAAAACTTACAATCTAAACGAGGCCTGGATGTCAAAAAACACAAGCCAGGTTTCCTTTGGGATTTTGATACTGGTACAAATAAACCTAGCTTGAGCTTCAATTCAACACCAGGATGGTGATGATGATGATGAGAATGCTTTGTTAGCATTGTACTTTGTGTCCCATCCCACAAAGCCATTGTTGTATTGGACCTAAAAAACAAAGAGGAAAAGAATTAAAGGGCATTCGAATCCATGCGCAACAAAAAAGGTGAAAAGGCTCACATCATGATGAATGAATAGGATGGATTTGTCTCGACCCCAAAAGCAGCGTGGTACACGACCTTGACCTGCAGACATCTACTGTAATATCTTTGTGTTCTGAACCTGCTGGGACTAGCAGGCCATTGGTTCAAAGCAAAGCAAAGCACTGCACTGCACCTGAAGGTCTTGGTGCCAGAAAAGGCCATTCATTTGATGAGATTGCGTGAGGTAATGTACATTCCCAAATGGCCAAATCTTCCAGGAACCGATGGCTTTTCATAACAACTCTGTTTACACAAATCAGGAACTAAAGTTACCACACAAGACACGATATCGAAGGTACACAGCATGTGGCCTCAGTTAGCCGGTCTATGGTATGTCTTGGAGTTATTGCTTCCCTTCTCTAGCAAGGCTTCTGCACAAGACACGAAACAATTGCGATTACTACTCCCAGGCATGGATTTCTTCAAGAAAACAAATTTCAGAGGCTGCTCAATTTAAAACCTTGAATATCTAATAGGCCGAAAACCCATAGCACAATTCAGGATAATATCCAAGCAACCACCAGATTGTATTGAATCCGACGTCTAAAACACCTAGCAAATCAGTCTCTCAGGTAGAACACTGCTAGAGCTAACAAGGATGCCTACTATAACCATGCTCTGTTCTCATCTTCTGAGCATCGACTAAACTACGATCTAAGAGAGCCCCTAACGCTTCCAATGTGATGGCCATAGATTTTGGAGATGTTCTTGGCCATCGCTGCTTCACTGCTGCTGCGCAACAGCCTGCCTCATCTGCATTACCTTCTTGTGAGAGTTGGAGTGTATGCAACTCACAAAAGTCGGGCTATTGGCAGGTCTATACTCTGGCAGCAGCCTGCCGGACTTGTACCTCACGCCACAGGCATTGCAAAGAGTCTTCGGTCCCAAAGGTCCAGCCCTCCACTGTGGGGTCTTGGAGGACAAGCAATGGGTGCAGCGCTTCTCTGCCTGATCTGACGACTGGGGCTCATTCACATATGTCTTCTTCATCATCTTCTTCTTCTTATCTCGCTGTGCTCCTGGTTCTTGTTCTTTCTTGGTTTCTTGGCCACAATGCTCCTCAGAAATGGTGGCATACCTATTCTCTGGCTTAAGCCTCAGGCCACATGCATTGCATTAGCATCTGAGGGGCCCTGACGGGCCATCCTCCATCGTGGTGTTTGGCATGACAAACAATTGCTACACCTCTTCACCAGCCGCCGCACACCCTTCTCACACTTCTCTTCCTGCCCTTGTTGCTGGCAAACCTCTTGGTCTTTGTCTTTCTTGGGGAGGATCAGCTCGCTCTCTGCCATCCAATGCTTCTGATCAATTAGGATTAGCGGTGGCTCAACATACAATGGGATGATGTATTGTTGATCATCGTCGTTAGTCATAACAGAGGCCAGGCTCCTTTTCTTTCTCCTGCCATTGGAAGATGAAGGTGGCGGTAACTTTGGTTTTCCAGCACCCTGGCTTGCCATTGCAGGAGCAGATCTTGCAAAAACAGGATTTGTGTAGGATGTGGAGCTCGAAAAGCAGTCCTCCACGTAGCCAGAGAGCCATTCTATGTTGCTCTCATCACTCTCCTGCGAAGTAAAGAGTAACATGGCATGGAAACAGTTAGTAAGAATGCAATGGCCAAAATAACTACCGACAATTCAGTTTTAAACTCTGGTTCTACATGGTTGAATTTGATAATAAGAACGGTAAAAGCATGAATAGAATTTCTAGTTCTAGGGCCTATAAACAAGTGAAAAATTACTCAGATACGAATAATTCCAGTAAGACTTCGAGGCAAAGAAGAGTAGAAACGTAGAGTAATCAATTTCCCCTCTCCAACAGATTCTATAACAAAAATACTAATATAGGCCAAATTCTCAACCAAAATCATGAAGCATGAGGAGCATCTAGGGATTAATGGAAATAAATTTGACAAAAGGAGATATTTGAACAGAAACGTCCTGCATTTACAATTGTCACTGTGCCAGCAGAAACAGCTATGGCAGTTTCTTAGTTACAATCTAATCTAATTACATAAGCGTTACAGTTCGTGCACGATGGAATGAATAGCAGTAAATGCTACAAACAGAATGAACTAAACAACAACCGCAAAGCATGTCATATAAACAGAATAATGTGACAGAAGTCCAAAATGGGGGTGCAAGGAAAATGATATATATATCCTTGAATTCTGGAAGCTCGACATCAGAATACCACTCAAAAACTGAATAATCTGCAAAGAAACCACAAACCACTGCGGCGGTTTCTCAGTTATACAACCTAATTGAGCATTACAGTTGGAGTGCAATGGAATGAATACCAAATAGAAACGGAATGAACTAAACGACCACCACAAAGCATGTTTATAAACGGAAAATTGTGAAGTCCAAAATGGGGGTGCAGGGAAAATGATATCTCCTTGAATTCTGTAAGTTCTACAACAGAATCGCACCCGGAAACTGATTAATTTTCAAAGAAACCGCAAACCACTATGGCAGTTTCTCAGTTAGTACAATCTAATTGAGCATTACAGTTGGAGTGCGATGGAATGAACACCGAATAGAAACGGAATGAACTAAACGACAACCACAAAGCATGTTTTATAAACAGAAAATGTGAAGTCCAAAATGGGGGTGCAGGGAAAATGATATCTCCTTGAATTCTGTAAGTTCTACAACAGAATCGCACCTGGAAACTGATTAATTTTCAAAGAAACCGCAAAACACTATGGCAGTTTCTCAGTTACAATCTAAATTAAGCAGTACAGTTGGTGCAAGATCGACTGAATAGCCGTAAATGCTGCAAGCTGGCTGAACTAAACTATATTTGCAAAGCATGTCTTATAAACAGAAGCATGTGACCAAGTCCAAAATGGGGGTGCGGGAAGAAATGATATCTTCTTTCATCCCTTAACATCAACATCAGAATCCCACCCAAAAACTGAAGAATTTTCAAAGAAACCCCTTGTCATTGTCTTAGAATGGGGGTGCAACGAAAACTGTCCTTGGGTTCTAAATGTCCAACATCAGAACCCCACCGAGAAACTGAATAATTTTCAAAGAAACTGCTTGTCAATGTCTCTGGTGGTAAAGTTACCACTGCAAGTGCCACCTAACCGAAATATCACCGTCACAATCTCAAGTAGGCATCATACCACAGTGAGGAGCACAGGGTATTAAACAATGGGATGCACTTACGCAATGACCATGACACGAGTCAGGAGGGAAGGAACATACGCACATCAACAATAAAGGTAGCAAGCACACATTTTCTCCCCCAACCCTTCCTCTTTTACATGACCTCACAGCTCACAAATGGCCAAAAAGGACACGCCTTTCAATTGCTTAATTGCGAGAATAATGCCATTGATGAGCACAGCACAAACCCTAGCGGAAAAGAATAGAGTAAGGCCGCAACCGCCCGATTGCTCCTGTGGGAAATTTCCACCCCTGACGAAAGCTTCAGCTGAATTTCAGGGGCCGTCACAGTTCTTCAGGACAAGAACAGTTGAATTGCACGGTAAATTTCCCCCACCCGAACAAAAGAATCATGTAGTGGACAGGAAATTGAACAAAAGCACGGGCAAACCGCTCCAAAATGAGGATTGAAGCAGTGGAGAGCGCAGAGGCGAAGCAACCGCTTCATCCCCCAAACATGCAAGCCAAAACCGCTACCAGGCTACAAACGAAGGGAAGAACACCGTGACCCAGGTCTCTGCGGACAATAATCTCAAGAAACCGCGCAACAGACACCGAAATTCTCCAACAGGCGACGCCTAGACCCCCTGCCTCGCAAGAGCGCAAGAACCAAGAAACGAAAACCGCCCCCTGTTCCACTTCCTTCCCGCACACAGCACACAAAACGGCCGCTTCTTGGCGAGACAGGAAAAACCTAGAATAAAAAATTCTTGCAAAAGAAATATCACTACCCAACAGGGAGCTGTAGCGGGAGGGGAGGCGGCGAGGAGACTGACCAAACCGGCGGGCTGGTGCGGGAACATGTCTCCGAGGGAGTCGGCGGCCGCATTCGCCGGGTGCACGTCCATGCTCCTGTCTCGCGGTGGGACGGAGGCGCGTTGAGGTCGAGGCGCTGCCGGAAGGGGTAGGCAGGCAGGCAACCGCCGGCGAAGGCGGCGCTGCCAGAGGGAGAGGAGTAGGTGAGGGAATTTCGGGAGCTTTTTGTTTGGGAGCGGAGGGAGAGGCTTTTATGGGAAGGCGCCGGGGTTCCTGTTTTTTTTTTTTTTTCCTTTTCTCTCTCTCTCTCTCTCGGTATGTTTTGGGCAACAGCTGTGGAAAGGCTACAAATGGAAATTCATTTTGGGTTTTCCGTGTTTTTTATTTTTACATTTTATTTATTTTGCTTGCTTCATCCTAAAGTATGCTGCTGCTTCAATCCATTCATTCATGCTTTTTTTTGGGTCGGTTGCATATGCATTGCGTGGGAGCTTTTGATGGTTTGGGTTTCATTTTTTTATTTATATATTGGAAAAGTTGCAAGTTTAGTAGGAGTATTTTTTTTCTTCTGATAATAGAAATAATAAAGGATATTTTGTAAATATAAATACCCTAAAAAGGAAGTTTCTTAGAGGTGAAGCACCGTGTCAAGACAACTGTTTGAAAATCAAAATCCTAGGTGATTCATTATAGTATCACTACATCAATTGCATAATAAGACGAATAAATAAATAGATAGAAACACTAGATATATTACTGATATACATCTATCAAATTGAATTAATGGAGCAAAAACATTTTCATTTTTTTATTTTTTGCAAAGAGAAAAATATTGGCAATATGGCGAAGCATATGTACACATAACGAAAATGGATTAATAACGGGATGAAATATATATATCCCCCAACAAATCTGCCCCCCTTTTTTCATTAACTTTTGTGCCGGGCCTATGGGGTGGTGGATTTGAAACGGATACGGCGTGCCGGGCTGGCCGGTTGCTTTCAATTTTCGTACTGCTCTCCCTCGCACTCCCTTTGCTTGTGCAGTTGTGTTGTGTGGCCCGTGTGCCCTGTGTGGCGTTTCAGTTTCGTCAGGTCCTAGGCTGACGCCAAACGCAAGCTCAAAGCCAAACATGTGTGACGTGAGCTACCCTCCCTTTCTACCCTTTATTACATCCTTCCCAAGAAAACAAAAGAAATATAACTACTGTACAAATCTGCCAATCCTCTTCTGTCTATCTTATGTCTGGTTTAAATTCAGGGCGTAAAATTTTAGGGTGTCACATCGGTTGTTATATGGGGTGTCGCATGAGATGTTCGGATACTAATAAAAAAACAAATTACAGAATCCGTTAGTAAAGCGCAAGACGACTTTATTAAACCTAATTAATCCATCATTAGCACATGCATACTGTAGCACCACATTGTCAAATCATAGACTAATTAGGCTTAACAGATTCGTCTCGCAAAGTAATCGTAATCTGTGTAATTAGTTTTTTTTAGTCTATATTTAATACTCCATACATGTCTCCAAACATTTTATGAGATAGGGTGTAAACTTTTGATGGATAAACTAAACAAGGCCTTGCTGGCCCCATTTTCTATTTTGCTCTAGCTTGAAATTTCATCGAGTGGGAATTTTACTACTGGTAGACAAATGCAAACTGACACTTTCTGGGCCTGTTCGCTGGTTGGTGCTGGTTTGGACTGGCTGGTGCTGTTTTTTTTGAGAGAAAAACACTGTTGGCTGACTGATTTAGACTGGCTAAAACCAACAAGCAAACAGGCTGTTTGTTTAGGGGTGGAAAGAACATGGAAGCTTCTGCAGATTTTTACCGCGGGATATTGGGGCCGAATGGAGAAACGCGTGAGGGTAAAAACCGAGGGAGGGGAGAAGAAACTGATGCTCTTGGTTCTGTGGTTCATGCTGCCATGACTTTCCGTGTGCTCAAAGCCACGTCGTTCGTTCATCCTTGTTATAGGGCTCTTGCCAATTTGACCATATAGTACACGTCAGGTCAGGCCGGGGATAGTGATACAGGAATGGTGCCCCAGACCCCAGTTGGAAAAAGTGCGTGACGAGGGCAAGTTACGCAAAGACCAAACAAAAAAATGTCACATGATGTCCAAATTGATCCGACGGAGATTCAGCAGCGACGCTTGGAGTTGCTGGCATTACTGTCTCTAAATGTTAAGTGAGGCCCGGTTTAGTTCACCCAAAATCTAAACTTTAACACTATAAAAAAAAAAGATTCTCCGTCACATCAAATTTGCGGTACATGCATGAAGTACTAAATATTGATGAAATCAAAAATTAATTGTACAGTTTGGTTGTACTTTACGAGAAGAACGTTTTGAACCTAATTAGCCAATGTTCGGACAATTGTTACCAAATAAAAACGAAAAGTTACTGTGGCTACAGTACCTCCCTGAAATCAGGCGGCGCCGAATTGGGGACCAACTAAACGTGGCCTGAGCATTGCTGAATGAGAAAGAGTTGGATACATCCAGTCACTCCATGGGCTGGGGCTGCACCTACACTCCCAGAGTCCCAGCCTCCCAGGGCAAAGGATTTCCAAAAGGGAAAATGAACTACTCCATGGCAGAAGCAGAACACCTATCGTTGTTCTGAATACAGCAGTTAGCAACAGTCCATCCATCAAAAAGTCCGAATTTTTCAGTATCATCATAACATGTAAGGGAGTAGATACACTACATTTGCCTTTTTCATCTACGGAGGAAACATTTAGAGAAGACTTTTGAAAAGCCAGGACCAAAACTTGCTTTTCAGTCTTATTGGCGTACCACTTCCACTAAGGCATTGCAAGCTACAATCGCTGCCCATGACCATGAATCTACTCGACCAAGCATGATCCATGTGGACATCGACAAGTGCACCGCACATGGGACTGATGGGCAGCGACCGCAGCGTATAGGCTCCTCCGAGGTCCAGATTATATGTACACTTGGAAGTTGGAGCTGGCAGCCAGCAATAACATTTCCCATTCAGCACTCCTGTCCTGCTTGCTTCCAATAAGTTATCTGCATACACCAAGTGACAACCTTAAGTTTCCTGAGAAAATGTGATGTGATCACCCATCCCCCATCAAGAAACAGCCATAAACAAAATGATAAAAAAGGTGACCGCAACAACTAGGCACAATAGTTGAATAGCAATCTCCATTTACCCATGCCTGTTAATATGTACTCAGATGCTACATACCATTGCTGGACTTTTCTGAACTCTGTGAGGACAGGATAAATATTTTCGAAGGCAGTGTACGTCTCCTCTCTCACCTGGAAAGAGAAAATCTTAGATATAGTCTAATGCAGTCAGAAAAAAAAGGAATAGCTTAGATGTACCATTCAGGACAGGCTAAGGCACAGGAAATTGCTGCTAACCTTAGCTCCTGTCAGAACAATCTTGCCTGAAACAAAAATCAGCAGCACAATCTTTGGCTGCTTCATCCGATAGATCAAGCCAGGGAAGAGCTCTGGTTCGTACTGGAGAGTGAAAGCCAAGCAAAATATCAGGACACTGGCAAGACAATTCAAGACGGTAGCTGAGAGAAGTATGGTTAAAAAGACAAGGAATGCAACTTACACTTGAGAAAGCACCATGAGAGTATGCAAGACCCTCAAGTCTGATTGGGAATTTGACATCACAAGACCCAACAATGTTCTGAATCTTGAAGTCCTGACAGCACAGAAATAACAAAAGTTCAATGACATTTATCCCAGAATTAAAGCACACAAATTTGAAGAATGGAATACATACATACCTTGAATTTTGCTGGAAAACCAAGCTTCTGGATGATGCGAGCATACTGCAAACAGCAAAACAGTTATTATTCAGACACCCCTCAGCAGATTAAGAATATTTAGATGAACAGAAAAGAACACGAAATTACCTTCCTAGCTGCAAGTTTAGATTGTTGTTCACTTTTTGCTCCAGTACAGACCTGATAATTCACAGCAAGTGTTTCTTTATATTAGTGCACAATTAGGGAAATGATGACTTCTTAGACAGAAGCTCATTAGGAATACAGTCAAGCAAAAGGATAACTGAAAAGTAACCGTTAAGTGTCTATGAGGTGTTCACACTAAATTTCAACAGCTATAACAACTAAACCATAAATAGCTACCGATAATCTCATCTTCTTATGGTACAGAGTTAGAGCCATACCTAAAATAACTTTGAACGCGATTCTAGCTTTGTGTCTGGACAAACGCTTGTCCAGATTCAAAGCTAAAATCGCTTTCTTTTAGGGACAGAGGAAGTACTTAAAAAGAACATGCACAACATCACTGATATAGAAGTTAAACTTACCATTTTCCCTGACGCAAATATCAATGCTGTAGTTTTTGGTTCTCTTATCCGCATAATAACCGCAGCAAAACGCTGTTTTACAAAGAAATAGTTATTAAAGCAAAGACAAAGTACATTGCTGGAAGAAAATAAAATATGAAAATGAAGTTGCTTGATGTCAGAACTGAATGTGGCAATGGGATAAAACCAAGTACTTAATTTTCAATTTATAGGCTAGACATAGCTGGCAGAATAATGTGTATGTATATCAAAACGTAGCATATTAGCTACACGCATATGAATTCTTAAAGGTATTCATATAAAATGTAGGAACAGATGGAATTCTAATTTATCATAAGTTGATAACTGAATACTTATTGAAAAATGAGAGATAAAATTGTTTAGAGATGTGGTCTGTATTTTCTTAGAAGTTTACAATGCGATAAGCATGAATTTGAAGATAAATCATATAGTTAAGACACGGATCAACAACTATCATATGTGAAATGATATGGTTTTCATTCCAGACTATTCATCATCCACAGACATGAACCATGACTACGGGATAAGAAGCATAAAGGAAAAGAAAAGCTTTCAATCAATGGTATTATCCAGAGTACATGCTAATCGGACCACACTGGAAAATGGAAATACAGCACTGTGATCCATTCATTTATCAAAAACCTTAATACAGACAAGCAAACATGTACAAAATAGTTCTGGAGAAGTAGCACCAGCAGTGGTTGCTACATACAAACAGAACCTTGGCAAAATAGACAGCACTACATGCAGAATAAAAATGAAAACAAAAATGCATTGAAACAACAATCCCACCTTGGGGTTATATTCTGCATTACGTGCTTGAAGGGCAATTGCTTTGAGGTCCAGTTTACAGTCCAAATTGACCGTCGACACAATATTCCTGTTACCAGACCAAACAGCATAAAGCGGAACACAGCAAGGACATCAACATCTCTGTGTTGAGTATACAAAGAAAAAACAGAGAACGGAATCGCCCCAGAGCAACAAAAGCCAAAATAAAAAGAGTAAAATTCTTAGTTAATCAAATATGTGCAGCTATGTTCAGTTCATTATAACAGTCTATGAAAGCAGGAGAGATAAAGAGCACATAAGGAGGTACTAAGTTAATTCCTTCTTCACTTTCGTAGCAGAATCTACCAGAACCACACAAATACAGAAAATACTAACAACCAAGCATTAGCATCAGCACAAATTTGCACAAGGTTTTACATTCAGACATACACATCCACCCTCTCTACTAGTAACACCCTAATAAGATTCAGGAGGTCCTGAACACTCCAGTAGCATCAATCTCAAACTTTCAACATTAAGTCCAGCACGATATTTCAAATTCGTGTAGCTTTCATTATCATGGTTAAATCGATTTGTTTTCCAGGGAAGTAGGGCAGGTCAAAGCAATATCGTCATGACTCATGAGCTTTTCACTGCGCATGAGGATTGGTCCTTGTGACTCCACCACCCTGGAATCCTGGATCTAGCCCCGATGCCCCCAACAAGCACTGAAACTACAGCTTCACCAGACTCGCTGCCAACCAAATACACCAAGCCCAGCGGATTATGATTAGCTGAAGCACAACCAAAACAATCACTCAAAAGCAGCCAAATCTCAGCCGGCGTTCCAAGCCTCGCATCCCCAACCCAACCAGAAATCGAATCTTTCGGGCGGAGGGCGCCCAATCCAGCAAGGTCCTGCTGACTTACTGGAGCGTGGGGACGATGCCGGAGGGGTGCTTGGACAGATCCACCGGCTGGCTCCCCTCCAACGCCGGCTCCGCCATCCACGGCCCGAATCCCCCACACCACCAGAGGAAATCCCCAATCTCCCTACGACAGCGGGACGAAATAAAAGCTCAATCCGAGGCCGATTCGCGCGGGAAAGGAGAGGCCGTTAGAGATCCCGCGGAAAGAATTTCGAAATCCGCGGTCTTTTATAGAGATCGAGGAGAAGGAGGGTGGAGGGATCCGGGAGGCTGGCTGGATGTGTGGGTTAGGGTTTGCGTCTCCGTCGAGGAGGAGGCGGGGGGTAGGTGGTCGCGTGCGCGCTTATATGCGGACGGGGAGTTGGCGGTGGGGATGGGGACGAGGTATTTATAGACGCCGCGGGGTGACCTGCTGTCGCCGGTCGCGGGCGCGTGCTGGGAATGCTTGCGAGGGGTTTCGTTACGCGGGTTGAGGTGTGGGTTTGGCCCCTGATGGGTGGGGTAGGGTGCTTGGTGGGTCCCGGGTGGCATAATGGAGTGGAGGGGAGAGTTGAGGGGCGTGGAGACGAATGCAAGGTTCTCGAAGGTCCGGTTCGGGAAATGTGGTGCTAGTATGCAAAATTACGTGTGCGTCCTTGCAAGACGTCAAGTGCACATCTTTGAGACTGACCTTTGAGAGCCCGTTGCCCATGGGGTGCAAATTCGCAAGTGAAAAAAACAATCAACGCTGCTGGTGTTGGTTATACTAGCTTTTCACCATCTTCGTAGTTAGAGATTGGTTAGGCCCTATTTAGATGTAAAGTTTTTTTTTTTAGTATCGGAGAAATACTATGGTTTACAAAATACTTTGGTTTTTAAAAGCTACTGAGTGTTTGGATGCAACAAATCTTATAGTTTTTAAAACAATGGCTTGTTAAAATTGTAGTCTTTTTGAAGTTTCCACCCATGACCTCTTTTTCTAAACCACGGTTTCGTGTCTCTTTGGCTTACAAAACTGCATTTATGTGAAACTATAGTTTTCGAAAACCGCAACCCTTAATTTTGTTTGTCCATTCAGCTTCTTATTAGTAGTAAGATCACGTTTAATTTAGACATAAAAAAAGGATTGGTCCTCTTTTTTTTCTACGTGGGTGCTATCTCTTTTTCTAGCGTATTTCAATCGGATTTGGATTCTTAAAATCAGATAAGCGATACTCCCTCTGTCCTGTAATATAGTGTATTCTAGGAATTTTAAGACAAATTAAGAAAAAACATAAAAGGCGCATGTACCATCATTTTATTTCTTAATCGGGCGCTATCATCAACATGATTAATGGTGATTGGTTGATAAATAGAAAGTATTAATGCAAAATTGGTATTTGTCCTCTAGAATGCATTATATTTTAGGACAATTTTTGAATGCTAGAATGCACTATGTTACGGGACGGAGTAATGTACATGTCCAGGTTCCTCAAGTCTCTAACTCCACTGGTGACCTGATTAAACATCATTTATGTATGTAATTACTTTGTTGCCTTGTTTGGTGGGAGACTTACCACTACATATAGTCTATAGGTAAAATATGGGACCTAAACAACAAATACTTTAAAACAGGCACTTAAACCAAAGCAAGGTTTCTACTCAAGCCTCTAAAAGTAGGAGATCCCAAAATTCACTCCTTATTATATCCTACTTTTCTATTTGGTAGAGGTTGCTTGGTTTGTTTGCTGGGCACTATTGCACCTTGCCAACCCAAGATAGAGAACCAAGGCACATGTTTGGTTTCCTGGCTTCATCGCCTCGAGAAATGCATGGGCAAGATTTGCCTTGCTCACATGAGATAGCAAATTCAGCTCGCTGGCTAGAGCAAGATCCTTGTGACTCGCGTTGATGCAGCGAGGTGAGGCAGCATTGCTGTTGGAACCAAGCAGCCCCATAGTTTATCACCCTACCTTTGTCTAGAACCTTGCTCATGCCACTACTATAAATATCCACTTCTATGACGAAAATATTAATGACGAATCTAAAATCGTCATAGAAGATCGCTTTTTATGACGAATATTTCCATTTTGTCATAGATCAGTGGTGACAATCCTGCAACCCTTCCTTTCTACGATGAAATCAGGCATCATCACAAAAAACGTCATAGAAGAGCGCAGGGTTTCGTCATAGATCACTCGCGTGACTCATCTATGACGATCTCATTTAAACCTATGACGAATATAGCTTCGTCATTGAACTAATTACACATCTGTGACGGACAATATTTGATATGTAAACGGCTTCATCATAGATCTCCACACTGTACTTTCTCCATTCGATGTGTACTTGTGGGACCTACAGTTACTCATCCGTGACGCTTGCAATTCGTCATAAAAAGTCTCCGCTCGATCCTTTATCTATGCGACGTGTACCTATGGGACCCTTCAACTTCTGACCTGTGGGACCCGACGGCTTACGTGTCACTCGTATCTATGGAACCGTTCTCCATCTCCATCCGACCTGTGGGACCCGATGGGTTGCGTGTCACGTGTACCTGTGGGACCATCCGATCTTTAGGACCCGACGGTCAGTGGGACCTTTCTCCATCTCTATCCGACCTGTGGAACCCGACGACTTGCGTGTCACTTGTTGTTGTTGGGATTTAATAAATTCAAACTCAAAAAAACCATGAGACCTAGGAGTCAAACCTGGGACCCAGTTCAAGGAATAGACTGTCTTCGTCATTGCGCTAGACGCCTGGTTGTGTTGACATGACTTTAGAGTCCTAATAGTAGTATATGGTCTCTGTGTGGACAGGTTGACTTATATATTGTATGTATCCCCTGCAAGTGAAAACAACTATGTGCCCGTTGGACTTGCGACGGCGGCGGCAATGAAGGATCCCCAGTGTGCTGTGGTGGCTTAGGCGTCCTTTTGGAGGCTAGGCGGCGGGTCTTCCTAGTGGAACGCGGCGGCATTGGCGTCCATGTCCGTCGTGTGCCGTGGCAGAGGCGACAGATCCGATCCACAGGTCTCCTTTCTCGCCTTTTCCTGCCTTCACTATTTTGGTCCTTACTTGAACATGAGAAATACAAGAAACATTGTAGCGTTGCAGATCTGGTTAGACCAATGCTGATGAAAAGAACTAGGAGGTAGCACTGGTTGGTTTCTGTTGGTGTGTTGGTTTTCTGCATATATTTAGTGTTCTTACTATACATGCCTGTGTGCAACTAGGCCTGTTAATTGTCAAGTGCTTGCTTGATTATACCTATCTGTCTAGGCAAACATATAGGCCCTTCGCTTCTGTCTTAAACTATTTTTTCTGTCCAGTGCTTGCTTAATTCTACATTTCTGTTTCATATGCTCCAGTGCCACCGGTGAGTCCTTATGGTATTTTGAACTTATAACATATCTGAGGCCACATTTCTATGCCAATGGTATCTACATGGCTGTTGGATGTATTAGGATGCAACTCATATGTTTATTTTCTATGTCTTCTCCTTGTTGACAACCAAGTTATCCATTTGGTTCCAAACAAGAGGAAGGCATCGAAAGCAAATCAATGCTTTGTGTCCATCATTCACATCATTGAGGCCAATAATATTTAAACTACACATGTTGCTACTGAAGCCAATGATGATCACTACCACTTGTTCACTGACATTCTACTTGTGAAAACTGAGGAAGCTCAATTAACTACTGAAATTGTAATGGTTATAGCTCTATTAACTGCTACTCTACGTTGAGTTATATATATCTATGTGGCGCTACTCTAAATTTATATGAGGCCGTACCATGAAAATTGTTAATGGTTGTTCAAGTTACACTTTGGTATGAGTTGTGGACTGCACTGATGGATCTTTGTTGGATTATTTTCCTCTTCAGTGATCTCATTACTGAGGAAGCTATCATCGTACTGCACACAGACAAAATGGAGGAGGCCCCAACAAGAGAAATGCACTGGCCAGCCTCACAGAGGATGCCATTTTCAAGATCCTCCGTCGCCTCCCCGTCCACTCCTTGTTCTGCTGCAAATATATCAGTCGCTCTTGGAAAAACCTCATCTCGGACCCCAACAACCATAAGAAGCTGCCCCAGACTATGGCTGGCTTCTTCTACGACAGTGAGAACGGCAATCAAAACTTTACCAACGTCGTCCGTGGTGTACGCCCCGCTCGTTGGAATTATTACCCTTCAACATTGACAATATAGCTCTCTCAGATTGCTGCAACGGCCTCATCCTATTCTGGTGCCTTAGAGCTGATGGATACCGCTATGTCGTATGCAATCCAATGACCTAGAAGTTTAAAATTCTACCGTCTAGCACCCATGATGTTGGCCATGTTGTTGGTGAGGCTCGCTTGGCGTTTGATCCGACAGCCTCCTCGCACTTCCATGTGATTGAATATGTGGATGTCAACGCTATGTGCGCAGGTGTGGAGATCTACTCATCTCAAACTACAGCATGGATTTATAAGGAAACTAAATGGGGCGAGCATACTGATGTGACATTTTACAGACAACCAAGTGTGTTTCTTAACGGTTGTCTACACATTATAGAGCACTCTGGGAGGTACTCTATGATATTTGTTGTGGATATGGAGGGAAACACATGGAGGAAAATTGATAGGCCAGATGGTCTTCACCACTCCATGCATCAAGCTCAGGGTCACTTGTGTTTATGTACTGTTAATGGTCCCAATGATTCCAAGCTTTCAATCTGGATCCTTGAAGACTATGGTACTGATAATTAGACATTGAAGCATACGATCACCACGTGGATCCTGTTTGGAAGGATTAATATTAAATTTAGTTTCCTAGATTTTGATGACAAGAACATAGTGATCACAATTCACCCAGAATGAAATTTGATTTTATTTGCTAAGGAGGATGGAACAATCTTTGCATATAACATGGACCGTAAAAAAGTTCATGTCATCCCTGTCCGTGTCTTTCGGTATGGTAGACGTACCGTTAAAAAAGAGTTCATCTACAGACCATACTATCTTCCTTATGTTCCCTTATTCTTGGATTCATTAGCAGAGCAGTAAATAAAGCTGCATTTGATGTATCTCTCTATCATGCATTTTAAATTGACCAATATTGTTTGCTTATCT